ATCACAAGGAGATGGTGAGTTCTAGTCCTGCCTTTGGCATGAAAGCAGTGGTGAAATTCATTTTTTTTTACTACTGGTTCTGTGGGCATGGCTTGGTGGGCGTGGCAGGGGAAGGATACTGCAAAATCTCCATTCCCTCCCCACTCTGTGGCCAGCCAGAGGTGGTATTTGCCGGTTCTCTGAACTACTCAAAATTTCCACTACCGGTTCTCCAGAACCTGTCAGAACCTGCTGCATTTCACCCCTGACGCACCCCTTGGCCACGCACCCCTGGCCCCTCTGAGGTCAAACACAACCCTAATGTGTCTCTCAATGAACTCCAGTTTGACACCCATGATATAGTACATCTGGAAGCTGCAAAGGCTGGTTAATACTGCTAAAACCACATACACACAACTTCACTTTGTCTGGAGTAATGACGTAGTTGTGGATACTCACGCTTCTTTGTAATAGACGGTGAAGCTAATCAAATCTCTGTAATCTTTAGGCCGATACTGTTCCCATGTCAGTTTGATCCGGTTTTTCATTGTAGTGTTGGAAACGAATTTCAGAATGTGACTTTCACCTGAAACACAAAAGCAGCACACTTGGCTGAATTGCCACTAACACACACACAGCAATGGAATTTATTATTATGAGAGAGAGAAAGAGAGAGAGAAGGGGGGAGGGAGGGAGAAAGAGGGGGAGAGAGAGAAGGAGGAAAGAGAGGGAGAAGAGAAAGAGATCATTTGAGTGATTCTTTTCTGGAAATATGTACCACAATTGGGAATTGGTTCCTTGGTTTTGTTCAAAAGTGGATGGATCGCATTTTTGGGGAGCTAAAGCACCTTCTCCTCTGATAAAACCACAGCATGGGAATATGACCAATTTCTTTCCCAGCAGTAAATGGCTGGGCTGATCCAGATTTGATACGGGAAGGTCTGTTTAAACTGATTTATTGCTACTCCTGCCTATGCACAGGAATCTTCACAACTAGGGGTTAGCACCTGCTTGGAGTTAGATAGTTTGAATTCAAGGGGGGTTTAATTCCACTCCCAGGTTATGCCATTCCTTCCCCTACACAGGGATGTTTCTTTTTTAAAAAAAATAAAACATAATATATGTCATGCAAAATGTACCGTCAGGCAGGCACTTCTAATTTCATTTTTCCAAAAGCAAATATTAAACAACAGGAAGCGTTTCACAATGTTTTGAGCAAGAAAAAATTGTCACACCATCCAGCAAATGGAATAGTCTGATGTTTCACGAAACACAATTTGAACGCTCAATGAATGCATTTTGTTCTTCCGAGCTTTTTTCTTACACCCACAGAGGAAAAAAACCCAGGTGACTCAATCTTACCTGTGCACAATACATTTCTGCAACCCTCCCCTCCTCCCAATTTTTAGGCAAAGCCTGCTAGCCGATCTAACTTCATTAATGGAGATTAATCTGTTTTCAAAAGCCAAGTCTGGTCTTCATATCTTTAAAACGCCATCCGATTGAAAACAAGTTTGAATAGTTGTTTGTTTTGTAGATTGTGGGTGTTTGTTTTGAGAGAAGCTTAATTCTTGGCTTGGGAACCCAGCATACAATTGGATTTTTCAGTTGCTTTTTTGTTTGGATACAACACTGCCAAATGTTTCAACCTTCTTCCATCCTGCATACATTTTAAAGTCCATGTAGACAAATAAGCTTTTCCCTCTCCCTTTTTTAGTGAAACCTAGTCCAGACCCTTGAGGGTACATAGGAGAGGCGGGCCAAAGCTTTCACAACGCCTCCAAGGCTGACAAATGGATGTGGGTGATTCCCCTTTGGTGTGAATACACGCCAACATGTGTCTTTGGGAAACGGATCCCAGTTCCATATGCGGAGGAGGGGGGAAATATTGTTTGCAAAAATAACATCCTGAAGGTCTATTTTAGATGCCAGAGATGGAGAGGAGACCATTTCAATAGCCTGCTCACCAATCACCGATCAGATGCGTGCAGCATACGCATTGAACGAGCACATTGTTTCGACCAATGAGGATAAGGCGCTGATTTTCTTTTCATGTTCTTCTAAAGAAGCTAGTTTTCTGAGCCCCACATCTGACTTGCAAATAATCCCCCCTCCCCCATTTTACTAATTGGAGAATTATGGGCAAAATGTTGGGAGCGCAAATTAAGAGTGTGCCAGGCGCTTCCACCGGCCGTCCTGTGTAGCAATTATAAAAAGATACCGCTGATGGAAAGATTCTGTCCCTACGGCCCAGGAGAGGTGGAGATTATGAGTCACATGCTCCTTATATGTTCCTTTTACACCGAGATTAGGAAAAAACCATATTCTGCCAATTACTACTAGGTATCTTGGACGCTCCGATATTACCTATCTGCAATGGCTGCTTAAGGGTGAGCAGTCCATAAATACAGTGCAGGTGGCCAGATTCTGCACAGCAGCACTGGGGATTCGTTGCAAACATGTGTCTTCTCCACCATAGTTATGTTATATAACAAATATGGCAAACCCTCAGTCTTTTCCCTTTTAGCGTTGAACCTACAACGGGCCTCACTGGTTAGGGGTTGCAACTATCTTATAGGCAGATCATGTATAATTGACACTGGATTTTATTATAGATTTTAATTGTTATTTACCCTGTTACCCTGAAAATAAGACCTCCACAGATAATAAGCCCTCCCCAAAAATATGCTACAACAGAGCAGCAGCCATGCGGTGACAACTCTCGCTGCCTCCTGCACCTCAAAAATAAGACCTCCCTGAAAATAAGGTCAAGTGCTTATTTTGGAGGTCAAAAGAAATGCAGTATTATTTTATAGTAGAATTTTTAATTGTATATTGACTGAGTGTTTTTATAGTTCTGATCTCTGGTCTAAGATTGCAATAAACTGTTTGACTGAATTAAAAGAGTGACTAAAACCCACACAAAAGAAAATAACGACAAAAAGTCCTCAACATCCCAAACTCCGCCATTTAAACTCCTTGGTTTTTGTTTGGGTTTTTTCCATGTGACTTCTTAGTTGCTAGTTGAACAGAATATTTGTGTGTGTGTGTGTGTGTGTGTGTGTGTGTGTGTGTGTGTGTGTGTGTGTGTGTGTGTGTAATGGATGAAAGAGAAGGGACGTTATTTATTAGTGATATGGAGCAATCCAGAATTGGAATGACTTGAGGGAAAGGAAAAACATGCTGAGGACTAGTCTCCTGTCTGCGCATGCTCCAAATAACCTTTTTGCATCTCAAGTTTGGATCCCTACAAACCTCCTGTTATTTAAGGTCAGAAAAAAAAAAACCACCCTCTTCCATTTTGGTTATTCCACCCCAACACAATGTCCTCACGTACAGGATGCTTTCTCTCCGTTGTTCCTTGGATTGATGTCGCCTTTATTTTTTCGATCTTTGGTTCCAGTCACCTCCTCCATTTGGTAAATCTCCGAAACGCACAATTTGGGATTAAAAGCAAAGTACATTTTCCCTTCTTTGATGGTCAGGTTATGGTGGCTCCAGTCCCACAGTTGCTGCAAGTTTTGGTTGTCCAGCACATAAAACGAGTAATTCCTAAAAAGGGAATGTTTGGAAGGGGGAGGGGAATCAGTCCATGTAAACAAAACCACACATTTTTCATTCTGCTTGTGGTATATATATATACATCTCACGCAAAGTGTTAAAAGAAGCCTAAGAATCTCAGTGGCGTATGAACAGACCTAACACGTCTCCCAGGTTGTAAGTTGGAAAAGGTCGTTGCTTTTAAGGCTGAAGGAGTGACAAACTTCTTTAGCCTTAAACAATCTTCAGTCCTGGATGGTTTCAGCTCCATCTTCCCCAGAACCGGAAATAGTTTAAAAGAAAGAAAACTCTAAAAAGAGCACAGAGAAGAGCAACAAATAAACAAATAAAGGTTTGGAGGCTAAACCGTATGATGAACAATTGAGATATGTCTAATCTAACAAAGAGTAGGATAAGGGGTGATATGATAGCTATCTTCTGGTACTTGAGGGGCTGTCAGAGGGAAGAGAGGGGTCAACCTCTTTTCCAAAGCAGCAGAGGGCAGGACAAGAAGCGGTGCGTGGAAGCTCATTGAAGAGAGACCCAACCTAGAACTAAGGAGAAATTTAAGTCCACAAGTTTGAAAGTTAACTAAGACTGGACACCCTTGTTGTAAGCTATTCTATCAATCTAGTCTGCTGATCCAGGACCAAAACTACGTTTCATTTTTATCCCACTTTTAATGTAATTTTAATTAATATGTACGATCACAACAATCACCACCCGTCATATTTAGCAGCTTTCCTCTGTGAGACATTAAAATTTTTAATTTGGTAACAGTTCTGGAGCGCCCAGGTCAGACGCAGATGGCGCTTTTACAGGGCAAAATAGTGCAAGGGCTGGAAGCTCATCCAGAATCTAGAACGAAGGAGAAATTCTCGACAGTGAGAACAACTGATCAGTAGAACGGCTTCCTTCCGGTGTGCTCTGACACGGGAGGTTTTCAAAAAGAGATTGGACAACCATTTGTCCGGAATGCTATTGGATCTCCTGCTTCGGCAGTAGGTTGGATAAGGCGGCCTTCAACATCCCTCCCAACCTCATTCTATATTCTGTGGCTTCAGAGACAAGAGGAACTTTCCAGGGTGGAAGAAAGCAACACTGCCCTTTACAACATATCCCGTCACTCAGCTTGATTTACCATTAGACCAGGGATCCTCAAACTTTTTAAACGGGGGCCAATTCAGGCTCCCTCAGACTGTTGGGGGGGCCGGACTGGCTGGCTGGGGGTTGCTAGGTGGCCATGTGAGTGGATGGGCATGTCTAGGTGACCATGTGATTGGGTGACCATGCCTAGGTAGTCACGTGACTGGGTGGGTGTGGCTAGGTGGTCATGTGATTGGGTGGGCATGTCTAGGTGACCATGTGACTGGGTGGGCATGTCTAGATGGCCATGTGACCGGGCAGGTGTTGCTAGGTGGCCGTGTGACTGGCTGGGTGTGGCTGGGTGGCCATGTGACTGGGTGGGTGTTGCTAGGTGGTCATGTGACTGGCTGGGCGTGGCTAGGTGGTCATGTAACTGGGAGGGTGTGGCTAAGTGGCCATGTGACTGGGTGGGTATGGCCAATTTAGCAGTCCATTAAACAATACACACACATTAAACTTTGATTTGTTATGCTCCTGGGGGTGGAAAGCAGGTTAATGAAGGGAGGCGGCTGCCTTGATGTGTGTGCGTGTATGTGTGCGTCTCTTTCTCTCTCGAGGCTGGGGAGGCCAAAAATGGGCCCACTTTTGGTCTACTTGGCCTCCAGAACCACTCTGCACCCAAAAAACTGGCCTGTTTTTGGCGTCCTGAGGCCTCCAGAAAGAGGGGGGCGTGGGTAGGGGGGGTGATGTGGGTGGGGTAGCCTTGTGGTCCCTTGTGGGCCGGATTAATGGCTTCGGCAGCAGGTAGTTTGAGGATCCCTGCAGTTAGACAGTGAAAGGAGTGTAACACCAGAGTTGCCTTGTGATAAAGGGGGGCGGCCAATGCATTTAATAAAATAAACAAATTGATCAGCTGGAACCTGTTAAGTATCTCTGGAACATGAAGAAATCCAACGTATTTTAAGAAGAGACTGGGCAGCCACTTGTCTGGGTCTCCTGCTTCAGCAGGGGGTTGGCCTAGAAGACCTCCAAGGTCCGTCCATCTCCAACCCTACGAGTCTACTGTTTTACAGCTTGAGAGAGAAGAGGAACTTTCCAGGGTGGAAGAAAGCAGCGGCTGCCCTTTACAACATATTCCATCCCTCTCTGGAATTTGGAGAATGCAAAGCTGACCAAACTGCAGCCAGAAAGGGAGGGACCGGAGGGGGGGGGGGGAAGGAGGTTGAGAACCTACCCTCATCCTGTAAGATAATCCTTTCAGGCCAGATAAATCGGACACAACAAGGGCTGTTCTCATGACCTTGCCCCGGCCTTGTTCAAACAGTTCCCCCCACCCAAAAAAATCCTGTTTATTAACTACTGATGCAACCGGTAAGGGTTTGTTTGGAGGTAAAGAGAGCAGAGAAAATGTCCCAAGAGAAACACGGCAATTTCCCAGGACGCAAAGGGCAGAACGACGCTCCCCTCCTATTAGTCTGATGATAGCCACAAATTTTCCCAGCTGTATGGTCTTCAAAAATGATGCAACTCCATTCTTTTACATACAGGTAGACCCAGACTTATGGCTGTTCATTTAGTGACCATTCGAACTTACAACGGCACTGGAAAAAATGTGACTTTTAGTACCTTTTTTCACAATCACAACCACTGCAGAAATCCCCATGGTCATGTGATCAAAATTCAGATGTTTGGCCACTGATTCATATTTATGACGGTGGCAGAGTCCTGGGGTCAGCTTTTGTGACTTCTGACCAGCAAAATTCACTTATTATTGATTTTAGTTGTTATTTATTATTTTATACTAGTTGTTTTAAGTGTATGCCGTATTTTTCGGACTGTAAGATGCACCTTTCCCCCCCCAAAAAAAGAGGGTGAAAATCTGGGTGCGTCTTATACACTGAATGCAGCACTTTTGGCCTCACAAAACCCCACCCACTTCACAAAAATGGACGTGCAGAGGGTTTGGAAGGCTGCAAAGTGCTCCTGGGGGCGGGAGGGGGGGCAAAAACTAGTGAAAAACAGGCTGTTTTTTGCTCATTTTTGCTTCCCCCCAGCCCCCAGGAGTACTCTACAAGCCTCCTAAAGGCTATGCATGCCCTGTTTTTGGCAAAAAAAAAAATGTGGCATGCAGAGGGTTTGGGAGGTCTGCAGAGTGCAAAAACTTTATTTTTAAATTTACCTCTTCAAAATCTTTGTGCGTCTTATACTCCGAAAAATACGGTATATACTCAGGGGTTGTTGTTTTTTTTTTGGTCGCTGGTCTAAGACTGTAATTATAAATTGTTGCTGTACCACTTAACAAATGTCTCATTTAGCCACAAAAAGGTTTGGGCTCCCTGGCGGTTGTAACTCAAGGACTACTTGTACCTTCCTTTCTCTACCTTTGTGTCTTCTCAGAGGCATCTGAAATGGAACTCTGCCACCCAGTAGCCCTGGAAGAAGATGGGTATTGTAACCCAACCTTCTTCAGAAGGCCAATGAACTGGGAGAGAAGGATGAAAACAATATGAAGTTAGATGCTTACTCTGTGTTAAAGAACACAAGGCACCTTTGTCCCTCCAAAAACAGGACCGTCCTTTCAGCTCAGTTGAGCAAATACAAGATGGCAAATCCAGTTTTGAGCAGGACGACAAGTGAAAACATTTCACAGACATCTTAATGCACCCAAAGTTCACCCTTTGGTTGAAATTTTCCATAGATGATTTTCAGGAGCATCCAAGCAGAACTGCTGAATCATCCACAAGAGGACAACAAAGTTAAAAAAAAAAAAATCTATGGATCGAGTGAATGTGCATGCAGGTAACTCATGATGCTTCTAGCAACCTTCCTGGAAACCAAGGGCCATATCCGAAGGAGGGGAGGAACAAATAAAAACTGAAAGTTCAAGAGTTGTTGTTCGATGCTGTGAAGCTGAAGAATGGGAAGGTGGAGGGACCAGGTTCAGTTGACCATGACGTGGTCTTCAGCTTATGTATTAGGGCAGTGTTTCTCAACATTGGGAACCTTAAGATGTGTGGACTTCAACTCCCAGCTGGGAGTTGGAAACCCACACATCGTCAAGTTCCCAAGGCTGAGAAACATTGTGTTCTCTAACAAGAACGTCAAGAACCATTTGTCCGAGAATGTGATGTTCAATGACATGACTTCTTACAGTAGAATCAGGCTACCCTTACCCCTCCAGTTGTTCCTCTCCGTTGATATATCGCAGGTTCTTCAAAAACGACAAGGACACCAAAGCATGAGAATGCCGGATCTTCACATATCCAGTCACCGTTTCTATCAACCCCATGAAGTCCTCCAGCTCAGAGGCGATATTGTCTGCAGGAGGGAAAACAAAACATCCAAGGGAGGGAAGGGTGATAAATCCTCCTAGTTTCGAGATTTTTCTTCTCACCACAATTAGCTTCATCAGCTTAAGAGTGGCCTTCTGGGAATGTCAACTCTTTGCTGTGCAACACACACAACCTTGTATGATTTACCTAGGCAAGCCGGGGCAGCCAGGATGCCAAACTAAATGCCACTTCAATTTAATCTAGTTAATTTTTCGGCCGGTGCAATGGCAGTCCGTTCCCTTCAACGCTGGCTGCTAAATGCCAGCGTCGCATTCTGAGCTTTCAACAGCTGATGTTTTGGCAAGTTTCTCTTGGGCCGTTGTAAATCTAAGCCTTCAGGAAGCCACAGCTCTACAGTGATGCTCAGTGACAGATGTAAATGTTACCGCATTACTGCTAGCCAAAACTGTCCCATTGAGGAGAACCTCAAGTCTTGCCTCGAGATAGCCTGGGTGTCGGCAACCTGCAGCTCCGAAGCCATGTGGCTCTTTCGTCCCCCTGCTGTGGGGCTCCCCGTCGGCTGAACCCACCAGTGGTTGGCCCCAGCCCCTACCCCTGGTTGGGCACCTCTGATCTAGAAAGTTATAGGGCAGTGATGGCGAACCTTTTTGGAGACTGGGCCGAAACCCGTAAGAGGAGCTGCCCAGGGGCATGCGCGGGCCAAAAAAATAAACTTCCGGTTCCCAGCGCATGCATGTGCACTCAGCAGCTAGTCTTCTGGTTACTGGCTCACATGTGCATGTGAAAATCAGCTGACCAGTGCACATGCTCACACTGGAAAACGGAAGACCAGGTCATCCAGTTTCTGGTACTGCCGTACGCAGGAAGGCCCGCTGATCGTTGCGCGCGCATGTGCACCAGAAACCCAGAAGAGGGTTTCTAAGCTCTACCTGCCATTTCAGGCCCGCGTGCCACAGGCTCACCATTACAGTCTCCTGCTTGAACAGGGGGTTGGGCTAGAAAACGTCCAAGCCCCTTCCAACTTTAGTTATGCTGTAATAATATCCTTTTCCCATTAAGTCACATTATTTAATAAATTAGAAGTAGATTGTCCCTGCTAAAGCAGGGTCTACTTTATGGCATAGAAACCAGGAGCAAACTGAGGTTCAAAGTTAGTATTTCCTTGAGCTGTGTTTGCATGCAGTAATAGGTAAGAACTCTTTACCCTTCTGCTTTCATCAAGAACATGCTTATTATTCATATCTAATGCTTGCTCGCTCCTGCATACTTTTCCTACTTAACGGGCCTGGCTTGAGAACAAAGTCGGTGCTATATCGTGATACGGCGAACTATTAACTCTACCTTGTTCTCCTCTGAAAAAGCCAGAGTCAAAAGACCAAAACGAAGAAGGGTTAACAGAGGAGCAAGCCGAAGGACCTGTTCACACATGCCATAAAGCAGGGATGGCTAACCTTTTTGTTGTTGGGTGCCAAAAATGCAAGTGTGCACTATCCAGGAAAGCCTCTGGAACCTGGGGAAGGCGAAAACGGCCTCCCCTGGCCCTACGGATCGTTTCCAAACTTCCGGTAGGCCTGTTGGGTGCGTTTTTCGTCCTGCCCAGGCTCCGGAGGCTCTCCTGAAGCTTGGCGAGAGTGAAAAGCCCCCCCCCCTAGCCCTCCAGAAGGCTGGAAATCAGCTGGCCAGCACGCACATGCACACTGGAGTGTGCCACTGTGCCATAGGTTTGCCATCACAGCCATAAAGCAAGCTGTAATTGGACGTGTCTTGATCTCTTAGTCCAGGAGTCCCCAAGCTGGGCAACTTTAAGACTTGTGGACTTCAACTTCCAGAATTCTGGGAGTTGAAGTCCACAAGTCTTAAAGTTGCCCAGTTTGAAGACTTCTGTCTTAGTCCCTTTGGCATCCAGAAGAGAGAGAACAAACCAGCCATCGACTCTCTGATCTGTTCGTTCTCCACTGAGCGAGCCGAGAGCTTTCCGTGCTTCTGTGATATACAATCCTTTTCGGTCGAATAAGCCATCCAAGGGGCCTCTTTGGGGAAATCGGAACAAACACATATAAACGGGAGGCGGCCCATGGGGGGAATGTATCCTAGAGAGCAGCCACAAGGCGGCTTGACTTAAAATGGGGGGGGGGGGTTTAACAGGGAGTCCCCAAAGCAGGGGCAGAGAAAACTGCATGGCATTTGTGGGGTTCTAACAGATGAAACTGGTGTGTTACCAGCCTTCAAATCAAATGAATGTTCTCCTTCTTCAAGTTGGGCCAACTATGTTCCTTCGTAGGGAGGGAGGGAAGGAAAGAAGGGAAAGGGAGGGAGTACAAGGGATGGGAAAGAAGGAAGGAAAGAAAGATAAGGGAAAGGAAGGGAGGAGGGAGGGAGGGAAGAAAGAAGGGAGGGAGGGAGGGAAAGGGCAGGCAGGGGAGTGGGAGGAAGGGAGGGGAAGGAAGGTGGGAGGTATGGAAAAGGAAGAGAGGGAGAGAAGAAGGAAAGAAGGGAAAGAGCAGGGCAGGGGAATGGGAGGGAGGGGAAGGAAGAAAGGAAGGAAGGAAAGGGAAAGGGGAGTGAGAGGGAGGGAGGGAGGGAGAGGAAGGAAGGAAAGGTGGGAGACATGTAAAAGGAAGAGAGGGAGAGGGAAGAAAGAAAGAAAGGACGAAAGAAAGAAAAGAAAGAAAAGAAAGAAAGAAAGAAAGAAAGAAAGAAAGAAAGAAAGAAAGAAAGAAAGAAAGAAAGACCGTTGGAATTTTCCCAGAAGGTGACTCATCACTCTGACAAATTGTTAACTGAACATTCATTTTCTGTTAAGACATGTACTAGACGTGGCCAACTCAGCCCTGAGAAATTCCAAGGTGGGAACTCTGGTGCCAGGCTTTGAAGAGGGCATCATGTACACTGCAGAGAAAGATTTGCCACTGGGCAAATAATTAGATTCACTGATGTGCCACCCAACACGAGGGAGACAATGCAAATTCCGAAAACCTTATCAAGACTAGCAGTAAGCCGCCTTCTCCCTTTCCCTCCTGGGAACTTTGATCCGGCTGCAATGATACCTTGAGAATTCGTTGGGATTACCTGCAGAAAACTTCTCCTACGGAACACAAGGTGTTTTCCATGGCAAACGAAAAGCTGGCACTTTCATTATTTAAAAAGAACTTAAATTTGTTTTGGTTTTATTGAGAAGCAAAACCAATGTATTTCAACCACCGAGTAGCCAAAGGGAAAAAGGACAATTGCAATTTATCAAGAATGAAATGCAGGGCTGACATATCTAATATCCTCTGCCGTTTATTTAAGTATGTCTGTCTTGCAACATCAGAATGTCCGCTCGAGGCATCATGGGTACATTTAAACACCCTTCCCATGTGCTCCACGGTGGAGAGAGAGCAGTTGGAGAAACCATAAAACTCCACCCATGGTTTCTTTAGCACAGGGGTGCCCAAACTTGGGAACTTTAAGACTTGTGGACTTCAACTCCCAGAATTCTGGCTGGCTGGGGAATTCTGGGAGTTGAAGTCCACAAGTCTTAAAGTTCCCAAGTTAAGGCACCCCTGCTTTAGCACAACATGCACTTTAGGAAGCTCACAGAGGGGTTGTCACAATCAACCAAGGTTACCAAACTCTTTATGCTCTACCAATCTGGCATCAACTTACTCCCACGGCGGATGTTGATAAGAAGGTTCCCTCTAATTTCGGTGCATCCCTGGAGCGTCTGTGCTGACGTGACGGAGTCAATGGTCAGGATTTTGTCATCTGCACACACTTTGGGGCAGGGCCCCTCACAAGGGCTGCAGAACATGCTGGCAAAAGACAAAGGAGAGGAAGAGATGAGCATGAATGGCCCTTCCGTCAGCCAAGGTGGCGCAGCGGTTAGAATGCAGTATTGCAGGCTAATTCTGCCGTCCTTCCATCCTTCCGAGGTGGGTAAAATGAGAACCCAAATTGTTGGGAGACAATATGCTGACCTTGTAAACCGCTTAGAGAGGGCTGCAAAGCACTGTGAAGCACTATATGAGTCTTATTGCTACTGCTATTCCATGCCTATTCCTGTTCCTATTCTCCATGGCGGCAAGTGGTTAAAATGCAGTATTGCAGGCTATTTCTGCTGACAGCCGGCTGCAATTTGGCACTTCAAATCTCACCAGGCTCAAGGTTGGCTCAGCCTTCCATTCCTTCCCAGGGGGATAAAATGAGGACCCAGATTATTGGGGGCAAGAGGCTGACTTTGTGAACCGCTTAGAGAGGGCTAGAAAGCATTGGGAAGCAGTATATGTCTGCTGTGGCTATCTTTCTTTCTTCCTCCCTCCCTTCCTTCCCAGTGGTTAGAAGGCAGTATTGAAAACTAACTCTGCCAACTGCCAGGAGTTTGATCCTGACCAGCTCAAGGTTGACTCAGTCTTCCATCCTTCTGAGGTGGGTAAAATGCGGACCCAGATTGTTGGGAGCAAGAAGCTGGCTCTGTAAACTGCTTAGAGAGGGCTTTAAAGCACTGCGAAGTGGGATATAAGTCTAAGTGCTATTGCTCTCTTGGACAAGTGACTGTTCAATCTGGGTCCTCATTTTACCCACCTCGGAAAGAGGGAAGGCTGAGTCAACCTGGAGCCGCTCAGAACCGAACTATTGGAAGAACAAGTAGTGCAATACAGGTTGTCCTTGATTTACAATCGCAAATGAGTCCAAAATATCTGTTGCTAAATGAAACATTTATTAAGGAACTTTGTTCTGTTTTGTGACCTTTCTTGCCACTGTTGTTAAGTGAACCACTGCAGTTGTTAAGTTAGTAATGCTTTTTTTTAGTGAATCTGATTTCCCCACTGACTTTGCTTGCCAGAAAATTACCAAAAGTGGGTCACCTGTCCCCAGGTTTCTCCAACCGTCATAAATATGAATCAGTTGCCAAGCATCTAAATTTTGATCACCAGACCATAGGGACCTCCAAAGTTCTTTGTGATTCTGATTCTATATTGCATAACACATCCAGATTTCTCTTTGTGCTGCCTTTTGCGTTGCACTGATGAATTTGGCTGGAGTTTAGTGTGCAAGCCACAAGGACGAGAGCATTTTCATTTTCATTCTCTCTCTCTCTCCCTCTCCCTCTCCCCCCCTCCCTTCCTCCCTCCGTCCTCCAATTGTCAGCTGATTCCTGACTGAGTCACATGGTATCTTTGCAATCCAGTGGCTCCCATGATGCTTTACATGAATTCACAAGCTCATATTTCAAATGCTTCAGCACAAGGCACTGTTGATACACGCCAGAAACCTTTGAGAACGCACACTAAGAATTTTTGGTCCTTCGGTTTGCAAGTGGTGGGTGTGCGATCAAGGGAGACTGGAGCAGGAAAACACAATCAAACACACACACAAATGCCACATGCGTGCATCCATCTTTTTTCCCCCATTCACAACGTGAACCTTGATAAACACCTGCCCCTCTTTATTTTTTTTATGAGGGTTTTAATTGCTTGAAAACACAAGTGGCCAGATAGTAGCGGAGGAAAAAAACGTTTCCAGGTAAACATTTGCTTTCTAGCTGTGGGACAGAGATCACTGCTTTGCACCTGTATGTAAACTAGAAATTCTTCGGCAGGGGAAAAAAGGGGAGGTGTGTTTGGATAGCTTCACAACAAAACAAGAGACAACAGACGTCATCAGAAAGCTCAACTCAACCCAAATAAAGACACACCATCCAGGTCGTTAAAAACAATTTAAAATTCCCCACGGGGAATTCTCCCTCTGCAGGAGAAATATTTCCTTTTTAATTACCCCCGGATCAGGAATACCAAAGGCTCTTAATCAGGCAGCCGATACAAGCAGATTCGACCCTTATTTCATTTCTGCAGCGCCAGGATGATCAATTCGTGGATAGACTGGCGGATAAGCTCAGCCCAGAGTAAGCCACACTGTTGGATTTTTCAACCGAAAGGCTGTGAAAAATGTGCCACCCGTGGATAAGCTGAAACCTTCCCCTTTTTTTGATTTTTTGTAATTGGCGTAGCTGCAGGACGCACGTTTTTTCATGGTGTTTTGGTTAAAAGTTGGATGGCCTATTTTTCACAGATCTGTGAGCATATACAGTAGGGGTGTCAAACTCAAGGCCCGCAGGCTCCATACGGGCCACGGTGTGGTTGGATCCAGTCCGCAGGGCTGTCCTGGAAAATGTAAGAGGCCGGCCCACGTCGCTTCGGCCCAGTCTACCCAGTGCAAAGAGGAAACATGCCAGTGGTTTGGGGGAGTGGTGTCAAGCTGGCCATGCCCTCCCAGATGGCCACCCCCCGATTGTCATGAAGATGGCCATGCCCTCCCAGTAGGCCTCGCACACCCAGCCCCCGCCCGCAGTCAACCACAGTCCTGATATGGCCCTCAATGAAATTGAGTTTGACACCACTGATATCGGTTACTCCTCGACTCATTTGTTGATGAAAATTTTGGAACCAGAATCTTACAGAAATCCAATCTTTAATTTCCCTGGGAACAACAGTTCGGTATTTAGTCATCTCTGTTGATTTCACAGGACGTAACTTTAGCAAGTAACAGTCCTTGACTTACAGACATTTGCTGAGTGACCTACTAAGTTACAACAGCACTGAAAAAAGGAACGTATGACCATTTTTCACAGTTATGACTGTTGCAGCATCCCCGTGGTCACATGACCAAAATTTGGACACTTTGCAACTGACTCATATTTACGACGGTTGTAGTGTCCCAGGGTCATGTGATCTTTTTGCGATGAGCAAAATCCAGGGGGAAACTAGATTCACTTACTAACCGCCTTACTAACTTAACAACTGTGGCAAGAAAGATTGTGAAACTGGGCAAAATTCACTCAACAACTGTCTCACTCAGCCACAGAGGTTTTGGGCTCAATTGGGGACATAAAATCAAGGACAGCCTGTATTTGAAACATTCTTAAAGTAAAGGTTCCCCTCGCACATATGTGCTAGTCGTTCACGACTCTAGGGGGCAGTGCTCATCTCCGTTTCAAAGCCAAAGAGCCAGCGCTGTCCGAAGACGTCTCCGTGGTCATGTGGCCGGCATGACTCAATGACTCGAAGGAACACGGAACGCTGTTACCTTCCCACCAAAGGTGATTCCTATTTTTATACTTGCATTTTTACGTGCTTTTGAACTGCTAGGTTGGCAGAAGCTGGGACAAGTAACAGAAGCTCACTCCGTTACATGGCGCTAGGGATTCGAACCGCTGACCTTTCTGATCAACAAGCTCAGCGTCTTAGCCACTGAGCCACTGTATCCCAAAACATTCTTAGAGGCCCCCATTAAGAGTTCAGACTCTTTCTTACCACCCACCGGCAAGGGAAAAAAATCAAAGCCACTTGCCTTTCCCGTGTGTAAACACAAGCGTCCCCCACTTACCTTTGTGTATCATTGCGCACAAATCCTGGAGGACACTCTGGCACACACTCATCCTCATGGATCACAAATCTCTCATCTTCCCCAAGTAGCTCCGAGGAAGTGTTGAAACACTTCTTCTTGGTAATGCAACGCCAGCCCTCAAACTTGTAGGTGTTGGGTGGGCAGGTAGGAACGCAGGTGCCGTCATGGTAGTAGTTGCGACAGGCCACACAGGCCGAGCTGTTGTGGGGTGCGGTGCAGCTGCCCAAGCATTCGGGGTGACAGCATTCATTCTGGTCTGTGCAGGCATGTTTGCCACAGGAACTGGGACAGGCTGGAAAGAGAGAGAACAAAGCAGTGGGCATGAAAAGACCATCTTAAATTGGGAGGAAGGAAAGACCAACAGTTGACATGATTAGCAATAGCAGTAGCACTTAAGACTTATATACCACTTCACAGTGCTTTTCCAGCCCTCTCTAAGCGGTTTACAGAGTCAGCCTCTTGCGCTCAACAATCTGGGTCCTCATTTTATCAACCTCGGAAGAGGGAAGACTGAGTCAATCTTGAGCTGGTCAGGATCAAACTCCTGGCAGTGAGCAGAGTCAGCTTGCAATACTGCATTCTAACCACTGCGCCACCCAGGTAGACAGACAGACACCAACAGCACTAGGTCTTTGTCTTATATAGCAATAGCACTTAGACTTATATACCACTTCACAGCCCTCTCTAAGTGGTTTACAGAGTCAGCTTCTTACCCCCAACAATCTGGGTCCCCATTTTACCAATCTCGGAAGGAAGGCAGGCTGACTCAACCTTCAACCAGTCAGGATCAAGCTCCTGGCAGTGAGCAAAGTCAGCTTGCAATACTGTATTCTAACTACTGCGCTACCCAGGTAGGTAGGTAGGTAATCTGTTTCTCTGAAAATAAGCCCTCCCCAAAAATATTGCAACACAGCAGCAGCCATGAGGTGACCATGCTTGCTGCCTCTTGCACCTCAAAAGTAGTAAGACCTCCTTGGAAATAAGACCAAGTGTTTATTTTGGTGGTAAAAAAAAGACCCTGTGTTATTTTTGGGAAAACAAGGTAGGCAGGTAGGCAGACAGCCACCAATAGTACTGGCTCTTTGACGTATATAGCAATAGCACTTTGACGTATATACCATTCGCAGTGCTTTACAGCCCTCTCTAACTGATTTACAGAGTCAGCACATTGCCCCCAACAATCTGGATCCTCATTTTACCAACCTCAGAAGGATGGAAGGCTGAGTCAACTTTGAGCTGGTGAGGATCGAACTCCTGGCAGTCGGCAGAACTAGCCTGCACTACTGCATTCTGACCACTGCACCACCAAGGCTCTTAAACTTGGCTAAAGTTCATCAGTTTC